AAACCATGGCACAGTTAGTTGCATGCAGATGACATGTGCTCAATTCTCATGTTGAGAAGTGTTTTTATTGGATATCTCCGTCAGTCTTCGGGGACGCTGTATGTCACTTAACCCTATCCGTACGTCGTTTTTTACTATCGTATCCATGGTATCCATACGACGTGGGGGAACTCTGTGCCACCACTTTCCAAAGAGGAAATTTAATCGTTAATCCGATCCGTACGTTTTGCATAGCAGTCTGTCAAAATGATTTTTTGAGAAATACTGAAAGTTTTAAAGAGATCTTCGTACTAGAAAAAAAGTGAAAAATACAACCTCGGGGGTGCAAAATGACTCCAGGGCGTACGGATAGGGTTAATTCTCTTTAATTCGCCATAAGCCACGCCACGCACCATTATTTAGCAAAAGTATAATGTTACTGTCACCCTCTGTTGTTTTAGGGCACTTTGACCTCTGGGACAAAGCCCAACTCATCGCTGAGAAGTATGTCAAGGGAAATATGGCGTAATTTGTTCTTATAGCTTGCTCTCTTTCATCTGTTTGCGTAAAAAAAAAAAATATTTAGCTCATTAATTATTGTTAATGTGCAAGTAACTTTGCATAGCACTTCTGAACAACAGCGAGCAAACAAAAAATATCAATACATCTTGATCAAGTATTTAAAAATGTTTCTTTATTTGAAACCTATATTAATGAAAGCCTTTTGAATGCGCACACAGGATCACTACAAAACATGATTTTTATTTATTTTTGTGTTTTCTAAAAAAGATTTTGAGACAGCGAAACCACACATTTTAGTGTTTAATTGTTGATTTTCTCCCAAGACTTTCTAAACGTCACTACAAGAGTCTTGAAAAGACTCGTTCACAGGCGTCGTGTAACGTAATGACGGTAAAGCGTGGCGTTGGAAATAATGCCCACTTTTAAAAAGTTTTATAGGCGCATGCTGTAAATCCGAATATTTTTGACACACTTAAAGCAAAATATACTTAACATATCTTTTTGAAAATGCTCGTATCCAAACCTTTATTTGTAGTGGCCTTCATTACTGGGCTATTCGATTCTTTGGTCACCCCACTTGTAAGACCTGAAAATGTTGAACTGAGCGATTTGTGACCGTTTAAAATTGGGGACAAAGAAAAGGAAAAGGTTATAGGAATATCAGATATTGTTTGAGGTACAAGATTCACAAGCTTGTTTGCTAGATGTTTATGTGCGTATACTTGTGTGTGTATGTGTGAGTGTATTAGTGAGTGTGTATCCGTGTGTGTGTTTGTGTTTCAGCGTGTATGTCCGTGTGTGTGTGTGTG